CTGTATGTGGTAGAGCTAGAACTGAACTCTAGGTCTACATTCTTAAGTAATATTGTAACCGGCTGTCTGGGAAAAGAGACGTCCTCATGTATTATTAGTGAGAATAACACGGTCTCATTTTCATCAACTTAATGCCAAGTGAAAAAAAGAGAATTCTTCCTCCTCCCTCCCTCTCTTCCTTCCCCAATTCCTGTACACATACCATAAGCCAGTCACTGTGCTGGTAGTAGAGATATGTGAGTGAGCAGAGTCAAAGGATGTCCATTCGAGGAAAGGAGACAGGTAAAGAGATGTGAAGTGCAATAAGAGGGTGGTAGCGGGGGAGCTAGATGTCAACAAGGTGATGAAATGTGGTGACAAGAAAGAACCTTGTGAGGCCCAAATGTAGGAGGGCAGGTCAGCCCCTCAGGCCTGGCATCAGGAGTATATTGTGAGGCAAGTGCTGCAGAGGAGGCCTGGGAGGGTGATGAGATGGGACACCTAGCATTGGGAAGGACTCAGAAACCATTTCCTAAATGAGATGTCACAACGGACAGCACAGCCTGAGGTCTTGTGGGGCTGGGGTTTGATAGGAATGTTGTGGTCCATCCCAAGCTAGCTACCTGAACATGGTCAAAGATGAGGTCTGCTGGGAAAAAGTCTCGTTACTATAACAAGAATGGTTGGTGTGATATCAGTGTAACCTGGCAGCCAAGGAGAGTGGACTGGAATGTACATGTGTGAATAATGACAACTTCACTGTACTAGTCAGTGGGGGTGGTAGACACCATTGAGTGAGCATGTGTACTGTGTGACCATCACATTCAAAATGACTAAGCGAGTAGAGCAACAAATCTGTGTCAAATTTTGTATGAAGCTTGAACATTCCTCCACAGAAACTATTTGGATGATCAGAAGGCTGCGGCTCTGGGCAACTGCAGCCTTCATCACGACACTGCACCTGCTCACACATCACGTCTCATACAGAGTTTTTTGGCAAAACATCAACTCACCCAGGTGACTCAGTCAACCTATAGCCCAGATTTGGTGCTCTGTGACTTCTGGCTTTTCCCAAAACTAAAATCACTTCTGAAAGGGAAGAGATTTCAATGAGATTCAGGAAAATACGATGGGGCAGCCGATGGAGACTAGGAGAACTGTGTGAGGTCCCAAGGTGCCTACTTTGAAGAGGACCGAGGCATCATTGTCCTGTGTACAATGTTTCTTGTGTCTTACATATTCTTCAACTAATGTCTCCTTTTTTTCATATTACATGACTAGACACCTTCTGGACAGACCTCATATGCCTGCAATTCACTGGCCTTTAAAACAAACTTGTGTCTCTATTTTATCAACGGCCTTAGATCCTTTCATTCAGCCTCTTGGTCCTCTGTACTTTCTGATTTCACTCTATTCCAGCACCTGCAAGGCCTGCCACATTCTTGGTGACTCCCTGATCTAGCTCAGTGCTCCCTCATCTTCCTTCTCTGACCTGCAGGATTCTCCTGGCCACTCTGTGTCTTCACTCACTAGTCCTTGCCATTCCTGGCTTCTCTGAACAGCTCTGAGTGCCAACATGGGACACTGGCCCAGAGACCCCTGGTTACATACTCCTAATGGGCTGCCACCCCCATTAGACCTGCTTCAGGAGGGATTAGAAACTACATGGCCTCATCTGTAGACACTGGCAAGGTCCAGACACCAAGGACGCCTCCTCTGTCTCCTCTCTATTTCTTCACATCTATATTGTTTATGTAACCTTCTGACATCGATTTAATCAATACTTTTTTTTTTAAGATTTTATTTATTTATTTTTAGAGAAGGGAAGAGAAGGAGGAAGAGAGGGAGAGAAACATCCATGTGTGGTTGCCTCTCGTGCACCCCCTACTGGGGGACCTAGCCTGCAACCCAGACATGAGCCCTGATTGGGAATGAACCTGCGACCCTTTGGTTTATAGGCCGGCACTCAAACATGGAGCCACATCAGCCAGGGTTACTTAACCAAAACTTATCGATAAGCTATTCTACTTTACACTCTTCTAGACATAAAAAAGACAAATAAAAACTTTCTGTCCCAAATGAATTCACAATCTGACAATGATTACTAAGTAGCGGAACTTGCATTATACCACCTGCGTACAGTGTCAGAGTTCCCACGCTTATGTCTCTTGCTCCAAATTTCCCCTCAGGCCTCAGACTCACACCTGCTCTGTACCTGGCATGTTTACTTGGCTGTCAATAGCATTTAAAGATTAATATATCTAAATTATGATTTTCTTCCCTTCCTGTTCTTCCTCTTCTTTGTAACAGCCTCAATGTCCTCAGAGTCAAATTACAGGCCCCTATATATAATCCATTAATGAGTCCTGTCCATTCTACCTTCAACACATGTCCTGAATCCATCCACTTCTCTTCAAGTCCATTCTCACCACCCCGATCCACCACTGGGCTACTGCAGGCCTACAGAGCCCTTTGAGCATATTTGAGAAAAGGTGCCCTTCCTCCAGGCCTTCACAGCCAGGCGCCCGGATGTTTGCTGACGAGCAGAGCACAGGCCGGATTTCATCCTCCACCTGACCTCCAGACTAGCACCCTGTGCAGTAAATAACCTGCAGAATCATAGTCACTCTCCTGCCGCCATTTTTTCTCTACTACTGCAGTGGCCCTGTAAGTGCCCCTCCCCTAGTCTCTGCTCCACATAGCATCCACAGTGGCCTTTTAAAGTCTTAAACCCTGTCACTCCACTTCCCTGCTTAAAACTCTTGATTATTATCACCTTAACCTGCAAGGCCCTAAATGATCTGGTCCCAGCCTGCCTCTCTGACCTCCCGGCACCTTTCCTCTGACCACCTTGCTCTCCCTTAGAAATATAAAACATCAAGCTCCCTTCCCTCTGACTGAGGTGTCTTCTTTTCTCCCTTCCAGCTTGAACCACAGTACATAGGACAGGGTTAGTTTTATTTCATTATTTAGCAGTTATTTTTAATGTGATAAGCATTCCTGGCCCTACCAGCCAAAACACAGCTGGGACTTCGCCACTGACTTGCCTCTAACCATATGGTCCCTCTTGCTTCTCCCCAACTAAAGTAACCGTAAATACAATTCTCATTTCTCATTCTCTTGATTTCCTATTTATATAACAGTATTACGTCTACATGTAATCCTACATAATGGGGGGGTGTTATTTTAGCAGTCTTTGATAGTATAGACAAGTTTCACTTAATATTATATTGCTCAAATCCAGTTATAGAATGTGTCACTTAGTTTATTCATTTTGACTGCTGTATAATATTTCTCAGCGTGACAATATGGCACTATTCATCTATTCACCAATGGTGGGCATTGGAGTTCTTTCCAGGTGTTCATTATTGGGAACCAGTTATGAATACTTATGTTCACTTCTCCTGCTAAACACATGCAAGAATTTCTATTGGTACAAATCTAGAATGAAGTTCAACTATTGGATCACAGGTGTACAAATGTTCAAATTAGGATATAATGCCAAACTGTTTTCCAAAGTTATTGTACCAAGCCACGCTCCCACCAGCAATGTTGGAAGGTCCTGTGGATACACATCTTCTCCAAGCACTTGAAATTGTCAATCTTTTTAAATTCAGGGCCAGCCAAATGGATGTAAAAGGATATCTCAATGTGGCCTGATCTGTATTTCCATAATTACTAAGGAAAATTAATATCACTTCATATGTTCACTAGCTATTTGCATTTCCTCCCTCACTGCTTCAAGTTCACAACCTGAATGTCACCAGCACAAAGAGAACTCCTCAGACCTCTCACCATGCGAAGGTCGCCACTCTCTAGTGCATTACTCTGTTTTCTTGGTGGCATCTACCACTACCTGAAATTACCTAGTTTGTTTGCTGATATGTTGTCTGTCTCCAACTAAAATACAAGTTCAAGCATCTTGGTTGCCTTATTCACTCTTCCATCATCAGTGCCTAGAACAGTGCTGAGCGCAGAGTGGAGGGATGAATATATGCTGAGAGATATATAATAGATTAAGAGTTGTGCTCTAGAATCAGTTTCAATACCCCCCCCCCCCACGGACTCGCTGCGTTATCACAAACAAATTACTTAAGTCATTTGTTCCTGAGTTGCCCCATGTGTACAACAAGGGATAATAATATTCCTTATTTCATGGGGTTGTTATGAGTTTTAAATAAGTTAATGCTTGTAAATTTCTTAGAACAATACCAAAAAGCGCTTGATAATGTCAGTTATTATTATTAATGTATGATTTTCGTTATTTACTCCACGGCTTCAGAGCACAAGGCACTAAACCAGCCTGGTCAGAATGAGCTTCCCCCTCTCTCACAGGCGCCACACCACCTCCTCATATGCCCGCAGCCTAGAGAAAAGTAGAGGGGCACTTGGAGAAAAGTTCAGGGGGTAGTTTATTTTTAAGAGAACAGTCTGGTGGCCCCACACAAGAAAAAGTTAAATAACAGCTCAGAGTAGGTGCTCAGCAATACTTGATGAACCAATGATTCATAAACCATCAATCCATGCATCCTATAACACTAGCTTTATATTAATATTACACACAAAGTCATGACATTCTCCCCCCTCTCCTTTTAGTCGGATTCGTATTTTCAAAGACAGGAAAGAGAAGTTAGAATGGGGGAAGGCAAAGAAATATCAGTAGGATGGGTAAGGAAAGAGGAACAGAGAACTGAGAGAAGGGAGCAAGGATGGAAGGTGGGGATGGGGGAAGATGGGAATTTCAGGTCACACTGTGGCATTGGCCTCTGGTGTGGAACATTAAAACACTGAAAATAACATAAAGGAGTCGCTCTGTCAACCACCCACCCAGAAAAATTTTTCTGTTTAAGGTATGAAAAGGGGCAGGGGAAAGATGAGAGGGGTGAAGAAGAGTAGAGGCCCAAGGAGGGGGATGGGGGAAGGGGAAGCCCAAGGTAAACTTCACTTCACCGTTTGCCTGGGGGAGGATGGTCCGGTTAAATCCATGGCCCCCAGTCAATGTCACCTTAGCGCGAGCTTACCTCGTTCTGCAACCTGGAGCCCCGCTCCATTTGGAGCCTTCCTTGCTCCAAAGTGGGAAATGCGGCCTTGGTTAAATGCACCAGGAAGCAAAGACGAAGTGAGATTCCACTGAGAATTCCAGCAGGTTCACTGGGAGAAACTGTTTCCATTTGAGAAGGATCAAGAGTCCTGGCCAAAGACCAGCTGCCTCTCCGGGTGTCAAATTCCGTGACAGCTCTAAGCCCGGGAGAATGCGCGGCCCTCCGTGCCCCCCTCCTCCGGGGCTTCAGGAGTCCCTGGGAGGGGTCCGGGCAGGGGACACCACGGGGCTGCCCACTGGTAGCTGGCTGGTCGGGGTCCACCTTTGAAGAATCCAACTCCTACTTGCAGGTCCCTGCTTCAGCACCGAAGGTGAAAAATGCCGAAGCTAGTGATAGGATGCCCTGCCAGGACTGGAGACTCCCTCCTTCTCCAGTCCTTGGCCAGGGACAAGCCCGGCTGGCGGGGGCCGAGAATGCTCAGGGTGTTGCAGACCTAGAGGCTACCGAGGGGTGTGCTTGCGCCCAAAATAACACACACACACCCCCTACCACACACACACCCCGTTTCCCCTTGATGGACTCTCCAGAGGAAAGTAATTGCCCTTAAGCAGCATAAAACAGAACGGGGGCGGGCGGGAGCCCTGCGCTGTACTATGAAAGCCAGCATGATTCCCAAGACCAAATTTGGGGATGGTTTTAATTTTCAGGGTTGGATTTAAGCCCCTAAAAAAAAAAAAAAAAAAAACACGACATGGAACAAATTCCTGTGTGTGTGTGTGTGTGTGTGTGTGTGTGCGCGCGCGCGCAAGGCCGAATTTCAAGAGTTAACCAGTGCTTAAGAGGAAGGAGAGGGAGGGATGGAAATCGCAGATGGTGGTTTTCCCTCTACAAGGTTAGAAACGCGTCTTCATTCCCATGCCCAGAGTGTTCCATCGCGCGGTCCTCTGCAGCCCCGCGGAGCCCCGAGGTATCGCGGGGGTTAACACCGCCCTCGCAGCAGCCCGCCCGCCCTCCCCCTGCACTGGCATCCCCGGCCCTGAACGCGCCAGAGGCAGGCGGAGGGAGAGCCGGGAATCTCCACGCGCCCGCTCCCGCCCTCGTTCCTCTCTCGCTCCCGCCCGCGCGGAGCTTCCCGCCTCGTTCTATTTATAGCTCCACTGCCAGCTGCTGCTGCAGGGAACTCACCAGCCAAGCTGAGCATTTCGGCTCCGAGAGCCTTCCAGAAACAGGGGATGTTCATAAATTCTCAGAATGGCAGAAATGTCCCTAGCCTTCTGGATTTTGATTGCTACTGTTCACTCTGTTTCATGTGTTCCATTTCTAAGTTTAAAAAAGAAAGAGCATGGGGCCAAGAGGACTTTGAGGCAGGTGAATTTCAGGCAGGCAGTTTGTCATGCTGGGGACCTTTTGTTATCAGGCTGGGGGGAGGTGAGTAGAGGAGTCCTCCATGGATTTTCAGGCTTCAGGCTCATTTCGTATTTTCCGAAGTAACACTCAACCTGTTTGGGTTTTTGTCTGTCAGTCACTTGGTCAAGGAGGTATGAAGCCATGTCAACAGCAATGCAAAAATCACACCCTCTGCCATCTGATTGCCTCCTTACCGGGGATCGGGGTGGGGATCTCAGGACTGTCTGTCAGCATAATACACACATCTGGACGGTCTCTGTGTCAAACCCCCCAGCCACCCCTCAAAAACAACAACAACAAAAAGGCTATTTATGGTGTCACATATGGGTTTCCCAGCCCCAGGGGTCCTGGTGACACAGCAGAAAACAACACAAGCTCTAAGCCTTACATTCAGCGTGCAATGAAGCCTAGTGCACTCGTCCAGAAGGCCCCCCACTGACACCTGGCTCCCCAAGTCTCTCCCTTCAAGTCCTTACTGAACCAGTTCCTGAGCCCTTGCGCTCTGCAAATCCCCTGAAGGACCCCTGGGTGCTGCAGAGAAACACCAGTAGCATCTACCCTCACAGAACCTAACTGACAGGCGTGGAAGGAAGACCTGATCTCCCCACAGGCACTCCTGCAGGTCTGAGGCCAGGAGCCGCACCCATCGACCTCGGCCAGTTTTTCCCCTCTCCTCCACCTGCTGGCCTCAGGTTTTTTCTTTTAGAGCTGATCCTAATAGTGAGAGGTTATTATTTATTTAACTGTATTTAATCAGAATGATCCTCGAAGAGGCCTTCTAATTTTAACTTTCTAGTTATCCGTCTAGAAACCTCTTTTCGTTTAGGTCCTTGTTATCAAAAGCCTTTTTCCCTGTGTTTCACTTTCCTGCTCTAATACAGAGAAGATTCTGGATGTGCTATTTCTGAGAGGAGTCAGGATCCAGGGGTCCATCAGGAAAGTACAAGAGAAAAGTGCATGGGGCTCTGGAGCCCCATGTCCTGAGTTCTTCCTGGCACTTACAACATCTTGTTAAGATAATTTGTACATTAGGTTCTTCTCTGTAAATGTGGGTGACAGTAATAGTACATACCTCATTGGGTCCTTCTGAGATGAAATATCATAATCTAAACTGCTTAGACCAATTCCTGGCCTGTGCTCGAGGCCAAAACATTAGGTATTATTATTATTGCACAAAAAGGAGCTATAGTTGATTTGGTTGAATTTGTACAAAGTAGCATTTAAAGAAAATCTATTTTATTTGTGTAAATTCACAATATAAGTGGGTTTCTTTTTTTTTCTGTCCTTTTAAAAAACATTTTTAAAGTAGAGCGGACATACAATATTATAGTATATTTCAGGTATATAACATAGCAATTTGACATTTATATACCTTGTGATGTGATCACCACAATAAACCTGGTAACATGTGGAATCTAAACAAACAAAACAGAAACAAACTCATAGATACAGAGAACAAACTGAGTGGGTTTCCTTTTCATTGTATGAGGGCAGATCCCCAAGGCATTCTATATAGACAGGAGGTCCCTGGTCACTGATCCTGCATTTTCTTCTCTCAGGGAAACTAAACATCCCCTCAAAAGGCATTTTAAAAGGCTGCTGCTAATCTGTAAGACCCATCTGACATCCAGGATAAAGAATCAGCTGCTTATAGGGGTTTACTGCTGCCCTGGGGATAATATTTTGAAATATGAAAAGTTCTTTAAACATAAAAACACTCCATGAAGTTTTCCAAGGGACTATCTATGAAGGTGAAGTATTTCTATTTAGCTGAAAACCAAAGATCAACACGGGTGTGTGCAATGTCTAATTGCCACTCCTAAAATTTAGGCTCTGGAAGGTAGGAACTGGGCCCATAAAACTAGCGCTGCAACAAAAAGTATTAGCCATCAACCCCATTGCCCATCCTCCCTCTCTTTAGAAGAGAACCTCTGATTTTGAGACATGCAACCAGATGTGGTCTGCACATTTTTGCATGTGAGATATAAAATAAACTGTTATGTAGAAGCTCCCAGGTACTGGGGGTAGTGATTTTGTTCTGTGTCAACCTAGCTTATGAAACTGCAGCAACGTTTCTCAGAATTTCCCTTTCTGTATGGTTCTGGGCTAGGATCCTGAGGAGACATTTGCACAGTTTGGAAAGTAAAGCAGCAGCCATGTTTACACCCTGAAGGTCACTGTAAAGTCAGGTGCTGTTGCCACTTATGCACCTTCTCATTGACCTACTGGCTCATCTTGTCAGCATGACATAGCAGCTGAGTCTGCAGCCACTCCTGCTGGATCCTGCTGTTTCTCCAGCTCCTAGACAAAGTACACATTAGCTCCATGACAAAGAATACCAGCCTTTCCTGAAGGTCACCAGCACCATCGGAGTTGGAGGTTTGGAGATGTAGATTAGTGCAGGTTTTACTGTGTCCTCTTGGGCTCCAGTGTATCCTTGTTCTCTGTCACATCATGTCTGTGTCCTTCAGGACTACACCAGAGAGATGGAACCAGTAGGAAGCATATAAAGTTAATCATTACAAGAAATCAGCCCACACTGGAAGCTGGCCAATCAAGTCCACAATGTGTCAGGCAGCCCTTCAGAAAGAGCAGGCTGGGCCCTCTCAGGCATGAGGTGAAGCCACTGTCCAAAAGTAAAATTTCATCTTTTTGGAAGCCTCATTTCTGCCTTTCAACAGATTGAATCAGGCTCACCCAGATTATCAAGGATAATCTTTCTTACTTAAAGTAAACTGATTATCCCTGGCTGGTACGGCTCACCTGGGCATCATCCCAAAAACCAAAAGGTCATAGGTTTGATTCCTGATCAGGGCACATGTCTGGGTTGCAGTTCAGTCACCAGTCGGGGTGCGTTCGAGAAGCAACCAATTGATGTTTCTCTCTCACATCAATGGTTCTCTCCCTCGCTCTCTTCCTCTCCTCTCCTCTCTCTAAAATCAATAAGCATGTCCTTAGGTGAGGATAAAAATAAAATAAAAATTAAAAATAAAGAGAAATGATTATAGACTTTAGTCACATCTACAAAATACCTTCACAGGAACTGATTTAACTGGGCCAGCTTAGCCCGGTTGGCACAAAAACCTGACCATGGAAATGGCCATCTTTCCATCTAAAGGGCCTATCCTGCTGTCTTCAGGCCCAGCACCACACACAGAACCAACACAGCAGAACTTGAACAGTTTAACTCATGCCCACAGTTTAGGAAGTTAAGTTCCTAAAATAATCCCTTATTCTCCTTCACTCTCAGTGGTCCTGCTTTTTTTAATCATACCCTGACTGATATTAATACAATGGCTCTCATACTTTGCCACTCTCTTCCACAATCCTGCTGTCTAGAATGCAGGTATGATGGCTGCTAGACAAGTGAACTTGGATATGAGGACAAGGGCCACGCTGCAGGGATGGTGGAGAGGTGGGCTGCAAAAACTTGAATCAGGAACACTGCAGAGCTACCATGCCGCCCCTGAGCAGCCTATCTCTATATTTCTCTTATCTGAGAGAGAAATAAATTTCTATTTTATTTAAGCCCCTGCTATGTTGGTACAAACCCATTTCTGACTGATGTGCAATAGAAATACATTAGAAGTAAACATCAGCCGGAAGGCTTAAAAGTTATGGCATCATACAATAGAGTGGGAGAAAAAGTCACTGAACTATTTTACTTATTCCTTTTCACCTAATTTTCAGG